TGAGGGGCTGGGACTGCGAAACTGCTTGGCAGGGCTGCAGAGTGTGCTGTCTTTGATGAGACTTCCCGCTTCACGTTTGAAGGAAGTCTTGTGCGAAACACTTGATTTGGAGAGGGGCGGAAATCGTGCTGGTATAAATTTGGCGTGTTGCTGGGGAGGGGGTTGATTGACGGTGTCTACAAGGCTTGGTGTTACGTTGTTGTATCTATAGCCTGTAGCACACCACAAGAGTGTCGCGCGAGAGTAGGCCGGCAAGAGTTTTAGTGTCCCGCGAAAGTCTTCAACAAGAGTGTCCTACAAGAATCTACTTCAAAAGTGTCCCACAAGAGTGTCCCATAAGACAGACTAAAACTAGAGTGTCCCGCAAGAGTGTCCCACAAGACCGTGCCACAAAGGAGTCCCACAAGTCCACACGACTCCCCCTGTCCCACAGTGTCCCACCAGAGCTTTCCCCAAGAGTGTTTTACAAGAGTGCCCAGCAAAAAGTGTCGCGCCAGAGCTTTCCACAAGAGCATCCCACAAGAGTGTTTTAGGAGAGTGTCTCACAAGAGTGTTCCATGACAGCAGTGGCGCGCTAGAGTGCCCAGAACGGTTTCTTACAAGAGTGTCACACAAGAGTGTCGCGCGAGAGTGTCACACAAGAGTGCAAGCGCGCCACGCACAAAAGTGTCTCACAAAAGTGTCCCACAAGGATCTCAAGAGTGTCAAACAATGTTTGGCCGTTTGTTTTCGAGTGCGTGTTTGCATGCGGGTTTGCGGGTCCCACCGTGTTTTTCTCTATGTCGCTTTTAGTCCGCTTCTATTGAGTTAACTAGGCGCCTACTTAGTGAAGTAGGGGACAAACTTGTAAGCTCTTAGCTAGGACGCAGGATAGCTCACGCTTGTTCAAGGAAGTTCCACCCGCCTGAGGGCGGGGGGCAGCTTCCTTGAAGAAGAGTTTGCGCTAATGATTTGGCTCCTAGAATTTTTAGGGAAATTAAAACTCATTTGTTTAACGTTCGTCCCAACCGACTGAAGAAGCGAACGCTCTCTACGAACACAACAAGGCAAGGAGTTAGAATATTCCGCTCCAAAGCAGAATATAAAGTGTTAATTTCCACTTGTGTTGAGAAAAGAAAAGGTGCAAACCCTACAACGCCAAAAAACTCTATATACGCCCCAAAAAAACTCAGAATCTTGTCACCTTTTAACGGCCAATTGACAGAATCAACAGCCCATCCTCAACCTGTGCAAATAGTATATATTTAAACGGCAAACAGTAGCACCATTGGCGCTCAGCAGGTTCCACAAAATAGACCAAAAATGATGGAAAAACTAGAGGTGTTTTTGTAATAACCCCAATGTTCGTCGGGGTATAAAGCGTACAAATCTTGGCCGTTGACAAGATTCTGAACGTTGAAAAAATCGTCCCACCAATGTGTAGTCGTTGCGAGCAAAGGTCTTGGACTTACTAGTCCGCCGCTCTCTTCGACACTACTCATTTTTTTGTTGTTTGGTTTTTTCTTTGTTCCGGGAGCGGGTTCTTCCATAGAAAGGGTTGCCATCAGTACAGCAGCAGTTCTAGACCTTTGCTTCTGATCTGCTCGTATTAGAGTTGTTGGTTGTTGTGCAAGTACCACGTTTGAGACTTGTACCTTTGCACCTTGTAGGTCAGCCACAAGTAGATTTGCAGCTTGCAGGTCTGGTCACTGGTCTTCTAGAGCTGCTGCTTCAGATGTGGCTGTACTACATGGTAGATGTGCTGTTGTGTGAGATGCATTCCTGCAGTTGCCAATGTAGATGCGCAAGCAGTTCGGTGTTGCATTGTTGTATCTAGTCTGTGACACACCGTGTGGTGAAATTGCATCCGTGATGTCGCTGTGCAGTGCGATTTTAGGTTGGTGGGTCGCTTGTGCACCGCGGAATTGTCTCGCTTGTGCAGCGCGGTTTTGTCTCGCTTATGCACCGCAAGCTTCCATTAGATTAGATCCCCACCCACTCCACCCCACCCCAATATAAGATGTGATGATGTGATCAGGAGATCCGTGGTGCGTAAGTGAGCATGGCTGTGGACGCGGACCTCGGGTGGTTCAGTCATTTTGGCAACCCTTACAGCAGTTTAGAGCTCCGTGGTGCGCAAGTGATCCAATTTTGCGGTGCGTAAGTGAGCGAAAATGCTGTGGTGCGCAAGTGAGACAAATCTGTGGTGCGTAAGTGAACCACCGCCCGCGATTTTACGTGTCCAACAAGTGTGTGTTGCAAGAGTGTCCCAGAAGAGTGTCATACAAGCGTGTCTTACTTACAAGACTGTCAACAATGCGACAAGTAAAAAGATGCGAGCCACACGCGTTGATACGGAACCAAAAAATATTGAACAACAACAGTACTTGTATGCGTGCGTCTAAAGCCATTCGTCGTCTAGTCATTTTTGGCCCGCCTTACTTAATTAAGTAAACGCCGATTTAATCAAGTAAGGGCTAAGTGCGGCTAAGTGAGCTACTACAAGCAAGATAACTTGAAGTAGCGCTCGCGCTATTCACTTGGTTCCTAAGCTTTAGGAACAACAACTTAACCTGCAAGGTAGTGTAGCTGCTGCAAGCTGCAAGCTACAACCCCTCGGCCATAGTCCGAGCGCCAAGGAAAAGAACGAAGCGACAAACGCCTGAGGATGCTTGGTAGATGAGGCATGCTGAAACCACGTAGGAAACGGTTCCATAAGACAGCAGTCTTTCCGAAACCAGTCACTTGGCACTTGGCACTGTTTGATTTAGAGAACCGCACTGCAAGAGCTGCGCATGGCTGTGCAGAGTGATTTGTACAAGAAAAACGCTCTCGAAAATCCAAGGATTTTTGCTACACACCAACACAGGTGGAAGGTGGCTACATCATACGCCTCCAACTGGGCGCTCAAGCGCTTGGAGGTGTGGCATTGTCTCGCACGTTGGGCCATGATGGACCGTCCGACTTATTTGAAGCACTCTTCAACCACTTGAGCGTTGAATGATAGCAATGTTTCGAGGCACGGAAGGCAGACACTTCGATAGCTCAACCTTCAGTTGTAAGACAAAGAAGTCTATCAAGGACAGTGCTCGGGAGGGTCGATGGCGGTAAACAACTCGTGCCGAGAGCAGAGGGATTTTCTTGATGACAACGTATCGGTTCATGTTTTGATTGATAGTCGAGCAGTGGAGTGCCCACCATTTTGCAAGGCAGTCTCAATTTTGTGTGTTTTCCAGCCTGATAGCGGGTGCGCAGCCATCAAGCTTGAGAGGCTGCAGAGGAGGAAGCGGCCACCAAAGCTCTGCAATTTATGAACTATGGGTCGAGCGTATCTAAAGGAAGTTCTTCACCAGTGAGGAGCCTAGACATGAAGATGGTGACGTTCACAGTGTTCAAGTTGTATCATGTTTTTCATCGTGATGGTCTAACACAAGGAGAGCATTCCACCAGTCGCTGTGAACTCTCTGAGGCCCCCGTATTTGAGACTGCTTGCAGGCGCGAGTCATACCCCAAGCGGCTCAACATTTTAGCCGGAACAGCTAGCACACATGAAAAGCTGAAGGACTTGGCAAAAACCACGAGAACTTCGAACACCAATGCTGAAAACCCTCCAGGCATTGAGCTTTTTTAGCAGGCACGGAGGCACTCGTTCTGTTTGGCTGATCGGAAGGTCAGATGTGTCTGAAGTCTCGGTGAGAGAGGAGGCCTGGCAGATCTGAAATTTGGCAGTCGAGGCGAGAGGACACTTGTTCTGCCTCAGGATTCTAAAGGAGAAGACAAGGACAATCACGAAAAGGAAAAGACACCAGAGATACCGGAGGAGAAACCAGAGGGGAAACCAGAGGACACGGTGAAGGTGCGCTCGATCTGTTTCACGTTTCGGCGGAACATCGCGTTGTTCTCTGCGTGATGTACTTCCGGCCAGGTTTGCTTGGTAAGGCCAGATGGTCAGGAGAAATCCATGACTTTGCACAAGGCCCTGTCGATCCAAGAGCTTATACAGCCGGAAGCCCAGGTATGTCTACCAACGAAGCGGAAGTGATTTGGTGAATCTAAGCATTGTCACCTGCGTCCGTTTGCTGCAGCAGCGGAGTTGTGACATGAAGTTTGGTTAAACAGCTGGTTAAATCATCTCGCACAAATCATGGCACACTCAGCCATGCTCCTGTCAGAAGTCGACGTGATTCCTGAAAAGTCTCCCATGAAGGTTGGATTAGTTAGTGGCGTTTGCTGAATGAGTCTGGTACCAGGAAGCATCGCCCTTCTTCACTGAAAGAGGACGAAGTGGAAGTTGTCGGCCCTGGAGATATGGTTGCTTGGATGACTGTCCACTTTGACCGACACACCTCTTGATGTTCCATGAAGATGAATCACCTGGGCACCCGCAAAAGTTGTGGAGGTCGTTTCCTGTTTTCGTTGAGTCTCCAAGTAAATGATCATTTGAGTTTCAGCTTCATGATCGCCGCCAAATAGCTACCCTATGGCAGATGGTGTTGAGGACACAAGGAGTTTCTGACATTTTATGACTCATGACTATTGCGCCAGCAAGTTCCACCTTGTTTAGATTTGAGCTGTTGTAGCAAGGTCCTTGAGCCCGATTTCACCTTGCTCGACTGCACCATGGTTCTCGACACCGACGAGGTCGGCCGCATTGAGTTTTTGTAGACAAGAGTTCCTTTCCTTCTTTTATTTTTCCCGTATAAAAAAAAGGAGCACATGTGTTGAATCTTTGTTTATAAACATCGATTGCCGTGACGTCCAGGAGGTGCCACGCTTTGCTTTTCGCAAGCTTGAGGAATGAGGTCGGATGAAAAAGGCGGAGTTGCCGTTCATGTCGAGCTGATTGTCTCAATCAAGCCCATAACGACGGCGGTTCCTTCCCGATTCCCCTTGGAGATATTGATGGACCTGAATGGCGCCGCTGCACTGCGATTCTGCCCTTGCAATATACGGACACGGGATTTTCTCCGGAAATGCCCTCTGGATTGGCCGATTTTGCAACCTTTGGTGCCTTTAGTAAGGTCTGCCAAGCAACGAGCGGAATCTGCGTTGGAATCTTGGTCCATGCAAGGGCTCGATAAAGAGAACTTGTGTGCACCATAGACATCCATAGACAAGATGTTTTTAATCTGTTTGCATCAATTCCCAGGCGGGCAAAGGCAGGAAGGTTTTTTTCCTGAGGTCGCTTGCTGTCTGAGCGATTGCCACTCCCAGGCAGGGCACGGGGATCCCCTTCTTTCAACTCTAAAGGAACCCTTCCAGCGCAATTTGACCACGCAGGGCGCCTTTGCAGCAGACCTATTTGCCAATTTGCCTCGCATTCCCCGCGTTCCTTGTGTGCGTCGCCAGACCCGCCTTCGGCTCAGAGCACTCCACGAGAGCCGGAGCCTGTGCCGACGAAAGGGACTGGAGTCGACTCGAGTCGTTTGAGTTTGCTCCTAGTAGCATCCTTGCTCCTCGTAGTAAGGCCAGGAGCCCCTAGTAGCGTCCTTGCTCCTCGTAGTAAGGCCAGGAGCCTCTAATTAGTAGCTTCTTGTTCCTAGTAGCGATGCCCTTTGTTCCTGGTAGCTTCTTGCTCCTCGTAGTAAGGCCAGGAGCCGCTAGTAGCGTCCTTGCTCCTCGTAGTAAGGCCAGGAGCCCCTAGTAG